TATTTTCAAACTCAATCTCAACACACTGTATTGGACACATTAGGTTTTAATGACAGCTACAGACAGCTGCAATTTCACTCTCAGTAAAATAAATAATTAGTAAAACACAGTATGCAATATACATCCAGAGTGACTTATCCCTATTGCTAATTGTAGCAATTAGCTTCAATTTCTCAAGATCCACAGCCTGAATGGTATTTTGCAGAGCTATGAAAGACGCATGAGCATGCACTGAATAATTAATATTCCAAATTACACAAACATACAGACAACGTATCTTAATTTTCTAGGTTAGCAACCGGTAAGGTCATTTCTGATACCCCCATAAAAATATCTAAAAGTCTAATTATGTAGTTGATAACCTATATATTTCATAAAGAATACTGGGGAAACGTGACCTGTAGAAAAAAGCTTAAATGTGAGCAAGATTTTAATTTTGCTGAATGTTCCAGCAAAAAGAATCAACAAGCGCAACATCTAAAGTTTGCACAAAAACTCATTACCACTGACTAAATGGATTCCTTCCAAAAATATCTGTATTTTTTTCACTGTGTTTATTTCAGCATAAAGACCCTCTCCTGCTAGGCACAAAGTCAAAATCACATAAATTTTCCTCATATGTCTCCACCTACGTGGATAGAACCACCTAGTGTTCTACCAACGATTTCAACAAAGGCAAAGCCCTTACATGTCCTCTTAATTAGCCAGCCTTCGACATTACCTCAGTTAGCTGTAACTCAAAACATTAAAAAGTTAACAGATGGAAATAATTTCGGTCTTATCTGGAAAAGTACAGGAAACCCCATATATTGTTTGGGAAAGAGGCATTATATATTCATTATTTTTGATAGCAATAAGTGAGGAAGAAGCTACAGTCTAATTTTTAGAAGCTCATTCACTACACGCAATCAATTAGTGTCCAGAAATTTAATAAAACATAGAAAGCACAGCATACAGGGGAGAAAAGATAACAGATTGAGTTGAAGACCAGTGCAGAGCAGGAAGGCCTGTCTGAAGTCAGAAAGTGAAGAAACCATTTCTTAGGAGAGAGCAAACCTACCAATTTCATCCATCCAACTCCCCATTTTACTGTCTTCTTTTTTTTTTTTTTTTTTTCCCTTTTAAGTCAAGACGAAGTACATTTTGAGGGGCGGGGGGGAAGTTCAATAAACATCAGTGAGATGGAGAGAAAAGGGAGACCAAGAACTACTTCTAAATCACAGACAGGCTACATGACATCTTGTATTGTCTTACATGCTGAAGTGGCTTTTATCAAGCTGCCTGTGCTGCTAATCGCTGGTAATGCTTTTCCACGAAACTTTGCAGGCCACAAGTCTTGGTTACTCCATTTATTGCAGATTTGTCATCAGAAACACAACATCCATGAGAAAAAAGCTGGACTTTCAAAATTTCTGGTGGATCGCCAAGTCTCCTCATGTGCCAAGGTCCTCCAGACTATATTTAGCTTTGTTCACTGAGGTTCTCAAAACATTAGGGGACAATCTGCCTTACGAGACTTGCATGGCCAGAGCTATAAAAAAATATTAGTAGACATTTTCAAGGCTTTTTCACTGAAAGTGAAGCTGTAATTAATTCTCTTAATTGAATGATCATTCATTAGTCTTTTACTAAATACATTACCTAATAGCATTCTCAATCTTGCAAGTTACTGCCATGTCTTCAATTTCCCTTTTCATGATAAGACTTAATAACAAGCTAAACTCACAGCTTTATAAATCTGCAGCACAGTACAACATATATTGTATGCACTTTTTCCATTTAGATTGTTCAATTACAAGCAACAGCAACAACAAAAAAAAGCATATTGTACTAGCTAGTATTACATTTTGGCAGATCATAATTAAATTATTCCTTAGAAGCAATGCTCAGTGCTTAAGAAGGATTATATTGAATAAAGGGGCTAATATTTTAGCTCAATTAACATGCTATTTTTCAATAGAGGTGTATACTATTTTTTCTTCTATGGGTAACATCAGCTATAAAACAGAAATACTGCAGCTCTTTTTTGATAACTCATGTAATTTTCCCCCATGCAGATTGTTTGCTTTCTATATTTTTTAAAGTGGATGAAAACATGTGACATATTATTTTATAAATTTGTTTATTTTATACTGTTACAGGCATAAAATATTTCACTTTTATATCATATAAGCCTTCCAGAAACTATGTTTGACTACACCTAAAAATACATGAGCATTCCAGGGTAAGGAAAAAATTTTTCTTTTATGTCTTTTAATTCTGTACTGTTGTGAGTTTGATTTATAATATTGGTTGGGGCAGAAGTGATTTTTGGATTAAGACGTTACATCTAGTTACAATGGAAGGAGGGTACCTTCTCCATGGAAACTGCCTACCAAATATGTTCAGATGACTTATTTATCAGATTCTTCAACACAATATTTCAATTTGATGGAATTGTATTTTCCTGGAATCTTTCACTAATAATTTAAGTGACATAAATGTAAAAAAGTCTGTATTTCTGAAGATAATCAAGATGTGTCATTTCAATATAAATTTGTAATATATTTCAAGGTCATCTTCTCTTTGGTTGTTCAAGCTAGCTACTTATGTTCTTTTGAATCATATTTAAGCTTTGGTTTAATTTGTAGTATTTTAATGTGTTTTAAAGACTCTGTGTATATTTTGTTGTTAGTGCTCTTTCAGTCTCCTGCAATTATACCATGGATATTTCCCAATGTATAGTGGATGAGCTTGTTAACGCCTTATGAAGATATGAAAACTGTGTAGTTTAACACTGATGTCAAAAAGTAACTTTTTCTTTCAAGAATTAGCATGTGTGTTTGTATCAGTAGAACTGGAATCTTGCACTACATATCAAACAGCTATTTCTCAGATGAGGCTACTAAACAGTACACTCCCATATCATTTTACAGCATTCTCCTCATCTTTTCTATCATTGTTATTATACAAGTTGCTTATTAAAAAACAAAATACAAATAACAACTCAAGGTAGCAAAAGTTTTTGACCATCACATTGGTCATTTCATTCTAGCTATAGAAGAGTTTTGTTTAGCTGCATACTAAAATAATGTATATTACTACTAGGAGATTCCATCTCAAAGGTGCTGAAAAACAGGGAAGTAAACTACAGCATATATATCACATATAACATCCAAGTATAGAATCAGAAAAAAGGTATTTTGATTTCATAAGGAAGGCAAGACAAAAAGAAAAGGAAAAGACAGAATGAAACCATGCTACAGTCAGATGGGGAGGTGAAAATTATATGATAAAAAGGAACGAGTGCATAAAAGACTGAATGATTACAATGAAAAAAAAATCAATATGGGTTACATACGGAGATATTAGTAACTGGACATAAGTGAGTCACATGAAATACCTTGTGTTCACAGTAGATTCTTACACAAATTTAATACAACTTGTTAAGTTAAAAATGAAATTCATATGCATACCATCACAGTAAAAAAGAACTTTTCTGAACAAATCATAGAATGAATCACAGAAGAAGCAACAGAGGATGCTGCCCATGTTATTAGCTGAATGTTAGAACTGCTATGTCATGTAATATTATAATTCTTATAATTTATTCCCGTTTATAATAGGGTTACAGATCCTTCTCAGTGTACAAGAACCTTTAAATTAATTCTGTATTCTGACACCATATAAGCAAAAGCTGATGGAGTATTAATTACATCAATTCTGGATTCATCAAAACAGAAGTCCATTAAGAAGCCCAATAGCATACATAAAGCTTCTACTGAACTGAAAGAAACTGGAAGGCATGAGGCTTGCCATCCAGCAAAAACATGCTATTTAGGAGTACTAATGGATAACTATCATTGCAAAATCTTTGACAAACCTTCTCGGACATGACAACAAACGGTTGAATTTATATACAGATGATCAAGAAGTAGCACTAAAAAACCCCAAACTTGCTAAAACCTTACTTCATATTTAAATATCTCAGTCAAGTGACTAGCACTTCATCATATGTTGAAGTTGCAACAAGTGAAATTCTGGTTATGTCTTATGGAAAAAACACTACAATGATGTAGTCAAATATTGAAATGATTGCCCAGAGACAATATGGAAAGCCCATTAATGTACCAAAACCTTAAGTGGGCAATGACTTGAGCAACTCGTTCCAAGTTGGCCTTGCTTTGAGTAGAGGGTTTGGACCTCCAGAGAGCCCTTTGAACCTAAATTACTCTGTAATTCCATGAACTGTATAGATAAAACCAAACAAAATTATCTGTCTTGGAGATCTCAAAGAAGACACAAATCACATTTCACCAATATGAAGATGAAAGCTTATTAGAAATGTACCTGAGCCAAAACCCCACAGCTGAAAAGTGAAAAACACCACACCAAAACCTCAATAATAATTTCATTTCTTCTAAAATCCTAAAGGGAAATGGATGCAAAAGAAATTTTTCAAAGAAACATTAGCAGTCCATGGGGGTATCAGGAGAATATAGCAGGACAAGACAAGCCAAGACTCTTGAAATTGCTAGAATGGCCTTAGAAATCTGATTTCAGCCATCGTTTATAAATTCAAGCTAGTAAGCTTTAACTGTAGTACTGTTACTTAAAAGAGTATCTTTCTCCTTTGCATCTCTCCTCCAAATAAATTGCATGCAACTTCATACTGATTAACAAATGTAGTAAGAAAACAGAAAAGCTCTAAAATGCTAGAGGAAAATAATACAATTTATTTTGTTTTAAAGAAGTTCATCTCCATTGCCCCCTTTTTGGTAAAAGATCAAGAGAAGCTTTATACTCTGTGCACCAAAATGGCAGTATCAGTTAAATTCTGCTATAGTATAAACTTTCTGACCTCTACCATGTTAAGACACTAGTATTTATACTTCTGCATCAGTTCCATATATTTAAGACACATTAAAAGACATCAAGTCCATAAACTTTTCTAACCCTTTTCTGCTTCTTAGCTCATTAATGCTGAAAGCTATTAATTTAAGAAATGAGTGGGTACTTACCTCTTGAAGAACCCTCTTCATTTTCAGAAGCAATGTCTTTACTGCTGTGCAATCTTGCAACATCAGTCTGAAGGGCAAAGATTCCATGCCTCCACCTTCTTCCAGACCAGTAAAAGGCCACTCCATGGATGGGCTGCCAGCCAGCTGGCTAACACGAGGGTACCTGGCTTCTCCTTGGTCTACATCCTTTGACAGCTTCAGAGATAAGTTCCTTACAAGAGAAAAGAGAGAGATCAACACTAAAATATGAAAAAGAGAAAGAACTCAATAATTTCTGGCTTTTTGTTCCTTTGAGTTTAAAGACACATTCCACATTCACTTTTTAAACCTGCTAGCATGAATGGCCTTTATAATGTACATATAGCCATATGGTGTTATCAATAAAATATGCATTAATAAATGTACCATTTGCTACAGGAATTGAAACTATGCTCTATCCCATGCCCTTCAAAAGAAAGCCATTTTCTTAAAACAAAATACCCTACGGGCAAAACTATTATGGGTCTCTTATTTTGGTTCAGCTTTATGAAAAAATTAATGTCATGTACTTTCAAAAGCTAAATCACTTCTTCCTATGCTTTGACTTAGAACTCAAAAAGAAAAGAAAACCAAGAAAATACTCTCTTCTGGGCTGAACCAGCAACATAAGATGAAACTGCTATTCTATAAAATGGAATTTGAAACTTAATTAATCTGTACTCACTATGAAGTTTAGTTACTCTGAAACTATTTGTTGAAAACATTAAAGAGAACAACATTAATTTGTGACTGAGAACCCATTAAAGACAAAAGAAAGATTTGGAAAAATTTTGATGGACTTTGGAGGTAACAAAATGCCATTATTTTGCTGCATATATACTACTTCCCTTTAATATCAAAGCCACATATCTATACGACTTTGCCATGATGGAGCAAGCCCAGTGAAGACCAACAAAATGGTAAGGGGGCTGAAGTGCACAATAAATGAGGAGGAGTAAAGAGACGGCTTTGAAATTGTTAGAATGGCCTAAGAAATCTGATTTCAGCCATCATTTACAAATTCAAGCTAGTAACCTTTAATTGTAGTACTGTAGTACTCTAAAGAGAAGATGAAGGGAATCTCACTGCTAACCAGAGTCTCTACTGTCTCCACTGGGATGGTGAAGAGATGATGGAGCCAGGCTATCCATAGGGATGCACAGCAATAGGATGAAAGGCAATGGACAGAAGATGGAATACAGACAATTGTGACCATATAGAAGAACTTTATTTATTACCATGAAGGTGGTCAAACAAAGGAACAGGGGCTCAGAGATGCTATGGGACACCCATTCTTGAAGATATTCACAACATGATGAGGCGAGCCCCTGAGTAACCTGCTCTAATTGGACCTGCTTTGAGTAAGGGCTCGGAACAGAGACCTGCAGAGGTCCCTTCCCACCTGTGTGGTTCTGTGATCTAGACGTCATAAATACAATCAGCCAAAAATAACCAAAATCAGTCAAAATCAGCCAAAAGTTTAATGGTATAAAAATCTTTCAAACAGATACCACTTGACATTTTGGTGGAACAGAATGTAACTAAACCCATGAAGGATGGCATGAAAGCATTTCATGCCGTGAAAGCATTCAACTTCAATGTTGCACCTATTTTCTCTTCAACCAGTGGGGAAAAAGGACAAATCTGAATAGAGAATAAATCTGAGAATGTGGCTGCACTGTGCGAAAGCAGTATATTAATCACTACTAAATTACTAAAGTGTTGTAACAGCAAAGCATGAAACCCATATTCATACCAAATTAATCCACTATAATTAAAAATGTTAGCGCAAATAGTGAAGAAAGTTACACTTAGTATTCATTTAATGTATAGTTCTAATTTTCTGTTCCACATGAATTTTCATGAAACACAAAACTGATTCTGAATTTTAAGCAGGGCCCTATTTTGGAAGGACTAAGAATATTTTTCCATGTGAAATTTTCCTTAGTTAACTTTGGTTTCACAGGAACCACATACAAAAAGGGATTAATATGATTTCTCAGGACAAGCAATTCCCAATGCCATACTGACATGTTGAAAGTGAGGCTACTAGAATTATCTTTTATGGATGGTTCACTTTTATATTTTACAAGCTATGTAATGTGCAGGAGGGACAATGGGTTAGATCAAGAAAAGCACCACAGAGACCACAGATATGGACAGACGCTTGTGATGGTCAACGGAACTCAAATTTTCTAATCCAGGTTTTTCAATACTCATAAAACAATTAAATTAGTCTGGTTTAATTTTTAAATACATTGAAACAACTTTTTTAGTAGAATATTTTGTGTCCTTTAAAGTAATCATCTGAGGTGGATGGTAAATATGCTTCTGACTGAAGGATATTGTCACTGCTGATTCATAGTCTTTATTAAAAAAGCCTCAGGTATATATCATGCAAAGGAAAAACAAATTTTATCTGAAGTTTCATAACATAGGCCACTTTTAAGGATTTATAAAAAAAGCCATATTCAAACTATCAGAATCTACATTTGCGCAAGATTTGTGTAGCCAGAAGAGCACATTATTTAAATTGAGTAAGATGAAATAACAAGGTCTTTTTTTCCTGCCCACTGCCTGCAGGCCAGGATATGAATTATTCTTCAGAATACTCTGCATGCTCACTTTGTGGGTCCCACCAAAGGTTCATCTTCCTCATGCTCCTGAAGAGCCATCTTATGAGAGTAACATCCTGACACTAAGAAAGGACTGACATAAGATGTAATGCCTCCCAAAAGGAGTCTTTTACAGCACATTATCAGAGAGGACAACCTGGTATCAACAGCAATACCCTGCTGCCCCAGTGATGAGGAACCAAGCAGTACTCTTGGAGAACTATCATCCTCTCACAGTGTTTATGTATAAGCTATACTGGAAATACAGCAAATCTTAATTTCAACTGAAGAAAATACCTTCAATGACTTCAGTGGGCTTTATGTTGACATCACACTGCTCCACACACAAAATTACCGTCTTTTCAAACACAGAACCTTGTACCGAGTATGAAAAGCACCATAACACCACCACTCATGGTCATGACTTTAAAATCTAACTCAACTGCAACTGGAAAATGGCAACTCAGAGTTCGTATACAGTGAGTAATCAGATGATATAGTACCTCCAAAATATCTGAAAAGACTGTAACTGATCTGTGACAGAAAAACTCTTCACTGTCTGATACAACTCCTTCTACTTGCTGCAGGAAAAAGCTTATTTTAAATTAATTCTAGAACCGATATTTCATCAAGTTAATTATTAACGATGTCCAGGTGGTCTATTACAGCATTATTATGACAATCCATTGCAATTTATCTCAAAGCAGCAGTATAGATTTCACAAGGAAAAGAAACGTTCTTGGAAAAATTGGAAGTTTCCCCTTACTACTGTAGCACCTCTCTACCTCTGAGGTGGGAAGAGGGGATGGTTCCACAGCTGTTAGTGCAGAGGCTCCTTAGAGACAGACAGTCCCCTCCACCTTCCAAAGGTGCATTTACTGTAATAAAAACATTCACAGGAAAATGTTATCTGTGACAAACTTCTGAAACTGTGGATAAAAAGCCTCAAAAGGTCTATTTTAATTACTAAAGACATTTTATTTCATTTAAATGACAATGCTAATTCTATGTTATCAACACAAAATATTTCAGAAATTTTGGTCACTTTTAAATATATGGCTCCTGTCTGAGATCTACGTTTGCCAGACATACACACACACTTAGGCTATATCTCTTCTTTAATAAAACCATACCTGAAAAAGTCCCTGGGCACTGGAAGTCAGTCAGTATTAAAACACTTCTGAAATGCCTTGACCCAACACAACTATCACTTTCAAACAATTTCTTAGCATGGTTTGGTGATTAGTATAGGCAAATTGGATGGGGCCACTCCATTCTGGGGGATGTCAGTGGTGCAGATGTGCACAAAAGAACCATCTCATGTAGATATCATCTCAAATATCTGAGCATGGCTAGGAGCCATGAAGCTCCAAGCTTGAGATGTGAAACCCAGCCAGACTCCTAGGCAAGAGAAAAGCTGTCCTTTTTGAAAGGTCTATGGTGAACTGTGGATGTAGTGGCAAATCACAGCTGAGAAGAGTGCTAAGAAGCTGCTCTTAATTTTCTCCCAAATATTACAGACTTCACTTCCCAGATAACAAGCAGTTCTCATATTCTGTATGATGGAAGATCAGACAAAGTCTGACAGATGGCATACTTAAAACCCTGCCCAGTCCTTTAGATCAATACCATAGGGAAACAGGCTAATTCAAGTTGCTCAAGTGGAATACTTCCTATACAGATGCACGTTGTATCTAAGGGGACAACAAATGACAACAAAGAAAAGCAAGCTTAATGACAGTAGATTACTGTCACCATAAGGTTTGGAAATCCACAGAAAATGTGTTACAAATTTGTGAATGTTTAATAGGATGAAAAATTGTGTGCAACTTGGTGGCACTTTGGGCCTCCTGGCTTGTTTTTGTTGTACCTGGACATATCCACCAAACACCATGAATATACTTCCTCATTTATAATGGATACAAAAATCAGAAGCTACAACATCCACGTTTAGCAAAATAGTAGTGCATTTAAGACAAAGTTCTATTTCAAAAGCAATCTTTATTGAAATAGTGAGATAGCATTAATCAATCAGTGACTTCTAGCATTTTAATAGCCTCCATAATTCCAATACAATTTCATGTTAACTAAATGAAGAAGAGACACAATTGTGCAGCTCCTTTCAAAGCTTTTTCCCCTTAAGAAGGTAGAACAAGAACAACTTTCTTGTTTTCAAGCATCTTTAAAGCACTTTTCTTAAAAAAATAAAATAGAAAGACCCAAAGATCTGCAACTTGAGCTAGTTTGAGTTATTCTTCCCTTCTTACTGATCCTCAGATCAATGACTTGAGGAGCTTATGGTAATTTGAACTTCAATTACATAAACATCCCCAGATAATGTAGAGTTTAATCTTCTTAGTTTTCATCAGCAGTGCTCAAGACGTTGCTACAGCAGAATTAGCCTAAACTAATACAATTGGTCCCACAGATACCCACTTAACAGAAGAGAACCCACCTAACACAGTGGGCCTCAGGAAGGCTCTGCAAGCAGAGCGAAAGACCCCAGCCTCTATGGAAAGAGCTGAACATACCTTCTTTCTTCTCTGAAGTCTTATCTTCTAAAGCAGGGTCTTAGAAA